CTGGAGTCACTTAGCTCCACTATTCCTGCAGTCTGCCATTGAGCTGTCCTGCCTTTCCAGCCTGCCGCGGTTTATTTGGCCAGTGCCCTTTGAATATCATCTGCTGCTTTTGTCTCAAGATATTCCTGGGTCTCAACATTGTGCCTCAGACAGTTCATGGGACCCAGCATGGCTTTCCCCATCAGTGCTGCTAGTTCCTCATTGGTGCAGAGCAGCCCATGCTGTAGAAAGTGCTTATTAAGGCAAGAAAAGCCTAGGTATTTTTAATGCTGTTATTTCCAGTGTACAGCCAGGGAGAAGCAGAAGTCTGTTTTGTGCAGCACATACTGTGGCTGGTTTCTTCACTGCCATTTCCCTGAGGGACTGTTCCAGAGTTCCACTAAAGAGGTTTTAGAGTGGTTTCTCCATTAACCCCTTTTTGCTTCTGCCATGTTTACTGCTAGGTTGCTCCATCATGGGACTGGACTTGAAATTTGCATCAACACTGTATGCCTGTAGCAGGGAGCTGCCTATTCCCTTCCTGCCCAGTTCTGTATCTTCTTAGTTTCATGTGCTATTGTTACAAGAAAACACTGGCATTAGTTTGGCATGCTGCTAATGAGAAGAAGAGCTAGCTGGGGATACTGCTCCCAAAGTTAACATTCTGCCCCTATGCACAGGAGCTGTGCAAAGAGAGGAACAATTTCCATTCTGCAGCCAATTTTGAGTTGGCTGGGTCAAGAAGCTCAGAAAGAAATGCAAGCCTACTTCATCATTTTCACTAGCAAAGGAAAAAACAACAGCTCTCATCTTGACCACTGGTGTTTGAATATTAAAATAGCCTGAGGGCTGTCACAGGCAGCAAGCATAGCAGGAAAATGAGTTCATTCTGACTCACAACAGAATGATCTAATTTAATGGGGCACTGACCAGGCTGTCAGGCATTAACTGAGCTACTATTCACCCCCGCCTTGCCCATGCATGTTGCCTCTGCCTTTGCCCCCTTCCCTCCATGGCTGTGTACGGATGCAGTGCGCAGCCACTTCCTGCATTCCCTCACCCTGCACAGATGCGTGTGCTGCTCAGCGTGGGTGCACCATGCTGCTGGGCTGTGGTGCAGTTAGGCTGCCAATGGCTGCTGCTTGTGCTCAGCCTGCAGCATCGGTGCTGAGAAAGTGCTGAGGCAGCACCATGGCCTCTTGCTGCTTGCTGGGCACAAGTTTGGGGACCGCACCTTCCAGGTATGTGTGTCCAGGTGGGGGGGCACGGCTCCTGCAGGCAGTGCTAAGTGCCACTGTGCTGAGAGAGCTGGCTCCTTCTTAAGCAGGAGAAGAGGAGGCTGAGTGGGAGCTTCCTTATGGCCTTGGATATTTCATTTGGCAACTTTGTCTCTTCCTGTCAGGTGCCTCAGTACGTCATTTCTTAAACGTCTTTCTTTGAGAATTTTGTAAAAAGGACATTTGATCCTCCTACTAGGTTGAAACCAACCGTGATGTTTATTTCCATACAAACGTACTCTTACAATTTGCTTGTTTTCCCCTTTGTTTCTGCTGGTTTTGCAGTGATCCTTCCTGACTGAAAAAGTAGAGTTGTTCCAGCCCATTAGAACATTTCAAACTGATCCAGAATAGTTTCCTTGAAGGAACAAAAGAATAGTGAGGAGCAGGAATGGTGTGGCTACAAAATGTTATAATGGCTAGGAAAATGGTGACATTTGAAAATTCCTGGTCATTTAATTGGTCAAATAAATCAGATGGAGACAACTCCCAAAACCTGAGATGACCCTGGAGAGTTTATGTGACCTGAAAAGAGAGCTGTGATTTGCTTTTATTAACATACAGGGGAACAAAGATCCATTGCTCTCCTCCTGAAGATACAGTTAATAAGAAAAAGAAAGAATTTGAGACCATTCAACTTTATGTCTGTTTGCAAATAGGTTTGTATATAATTGGCAGCCTCCAAACACTTTGTCTGCCAAATTGACCACACCAGGCTATCTGTGTGCCCCTGAGGCTGGAGTAGCAACATGCTGCAATGCTATGCTCTAACAAAAGCGCCTGATTTTGAACAATCCATTTGCATCAAGATAAGCAGCTAGTAATGTTTCCCTCTCACAGACCCTTACAGACTCTGACTTTGGCTACGGTTTACTGCATAATACTGTTTTTAGTGCTTTCCCACTCTTTACTGGACCGTAACAAAGCTGCCGTTATACTCATTAACCTAACCTGTTTTCTGGTTAGTGTGAGTGACTAACAAAATTGTCTTGGCCTGTGATTCATCTTGAATAAACTGTTTTCCAGTCACACAGAAAAAGCCTTGCTGAAAGTGGAAAGATTTGATCTTTAGCTCTGCAGATTGGCTTCTGTGCTCCTAAAGCTCAAATGTTTTGTCCCCAGTATCAAACATATCATCAAGAGTCAAAGTTGCTTCTGCTATTAGGGCAGATATATAAGCACAGTGAACTCAGCAAAAGGCAAAAGCCTGCTATGCACAGGAAATGAAACGTACAGAAATTAAATGCCCTTTGGAAAGCACGTGGTGTGTGGGATTCCCATGTGGCTGTTTGGCATGACTGAAAAACTGAAGATGTTGGGAAAATCAAAGAGATGAAAGACTCCAAATCCTTAAAACAGAAGACGAAAGCATATCAAATCTCTGCATGGCTCCAATCTCCTTTGGCAACTCCTTCCCCAACAGTGAAGAGGAGCATGGCATACAAGGTAGCCTTCAAAGCCAGTAAGTAGCCACGGCTGCATGTGGAAGGTTGGACAACAATGTCAGAGATTAACAAATTGGATGAGTTTCTGAAATGCTATGTCTGGCATAGAACTGAAAGTAGAAGAGATGATATGCAAAGCAGGAAGCTGATATTGTTTGACAGATGTACAGGGGTCACGTTTACAGCCGTAGAAGAAAGAAGAGGTATTTTGAAGCATCTGGTACAAGAGGAGAATATTGGAATTTGGGGGAGGATTCAAATCAGGAGGGATGCCCAAGATTTCTGGCTTCAGTAAACCTGACAATCCCTGCAGTGTAGGTTCAAAATACTTGTAATGATAGCACAGGCCTCCTCCTGGGGCTCCTAGGGGCTTGGCTGCTGGAAGTGAAGCACAGTCAGACCATTGGTTTGTGCTACACTGGAGACGTGCAGAACAGGAATCAGCGTGCAGGGGCTGGAGCTGCACAACCCGTGGTTGACCCCTTGCAGCATATGTTGATTGCTGTTCAGTTACAATGACTGCAATTCAGATGCTCATTTGACGCTGAGATCCAAATATGAAGGATAGGGGGATGAAAAATTAAATCACTGCTCAGCAGGATGATATTTGCATTTGTATTAAGCCCTGTCTGCAAGGCAGAAAACCCTATAGATCTCTCACTGCCCTCCAGGAGGGCCAGTTTCCAAGTTCAGAGCAGCAGCGGAGGGAGGATTCTCTTTACATCATCCTGTAAACAGCGTATAGACCCCAAAGACAGGGTCAGGGAGAGCCAGGACTGTCCTGGCACGTTATTCAGTGCCTGAGACCAGATGGAATAAATTAGGATGGCTCTGTTTGTCATATATGCTAATCCACGTATGCAGAGCCATTCTTAAGGCTTAACTGGCTTGATTCTCTGCAAATCATTTCTCTCAGTCCCTCACAATGGTGGATAAAAGGTATTTACTAGTATCTCGTCTCCAACAAGCTGCAATCGTGTCACTGCAGTGCTTTAAAATAGTGATAGTGTTCACTTAGACTAGAAGCTTAGGCTTTTCCTGTCCCAGTTCACTTCATTTTTTTTCAGTATTCATTTAGGATGTTTCCCTGTATCTCCCTTTCTTTTCAGTCAATCAATAGAACTGATATTTGTACCACATATTCCATGTCTTACTTTCCAGTATCATGCCTTGGGAGCTATTGATACACTTTAAATATGGAGAGTACGAAAGTGTTAGAGGGAGGAAAACAAATTATACCACATTTGCTTTAGAAAGTAATAATTTCCACTGACAAGCCTCAGGCACACTGCATTTATTTAAGATTTAATTTACCATATTCACTTAATAATTTTAAAGGGAGACTGCAAAATATATAATAAAACTCTAAGGAATGTAGATCTGACACATCTGCATGTAAAAATATACATACCCAGATTAAATGAAGATCATTGACCCTCACTTACGTTTTCAGTGTACATGCGCAATCTCACCTTACATTTGCACCGGAAGATGTGATTTTTCACACTGCATCATAATCTGAGCACTTGTTAATGTTGCATTACACAACAGGGATGCTGTGGATAGTGTTGAGCCAGGCAAGATAAAGCTGTGCTCTGGCAGAGGGCTGTGCCTGCCTGCAGCTCCCTGCAAAGAGCATGACGGGATGTGGCGAGGCGCTGGCATCCTGCTGCCAGGGCTACTGAGGAGGGTCAATCCAGGACTGTGTAGGGTCTTGTGTGGGTTCTGCTTGGCTGCTTGCCCTCCGCCCATGCACGTGCTCCTTACTGACACGGCTGCAGTGCAAAGCCATAGGGAGGGGCAGTCTCAGAGCCTGCTGGGTCTGAGACAGTGGTCCTGTACCAAACACTCAGCACTGCTGCTGGCAGTGGGCATCTAAGCCTCTCTTACCAGTGCCACCATGAGCTGCATGGCTAGCCAAGCATGGCTCTTCTGGGAAGGCCTTTGGTGATGCCAAGGCCAGCCATACAGCCTGTGGTGTCACCCAGGGCCTCCTTGGCAGAGTTCACCCAGTTGGGGACAGCAAACACCTGACCACAGCATCTGCTAGGAGCACAGTTTGTGGTAATGTGACTCTGCAGGAATGGCCCAGGGCCTGGTCAGCAAACTCAAAACTTCCAATTTGGAAGTGCCTAAAGCTTTACTTGGGTTAAGACATCAAAGCGAGTTGTTGCCACACTTCCACATCTCTATTTTTTTGTCATCTCCCCTCAAAGAGAGGAAGAATATTCTCATCTTGATTTGGAGGAATGTAAATGTTGAACAATCCCAATTTTATTTCTAAGTGGAAGTATGGATGTATTTTTCATTTAATTGTTTATTCAGTAATCCCTATAAAATACATCTCATCTTCTCTGTATGAAAAAGAATCTTGTGCTAAAACAACCCCAGTTACAGTTTAGGATGCCTTGTTAATGTAAACATGCTTAATTAATGGAATGATACAGGCCTTTGTTGAAGACTTTACCCTACTCCAGTAGGGAGAATCCCTGAAGAACATATTTAGATAAAAAATAACCTTCAGTGAGCACGAAGTTCAAAGTGCCTAGAGCAGTCCCGGCAAGCAAATGAGCAGACGTGGGCGCTGGTCACAGTGGTAGGACCTGAGGACACTCTCACACCGAAAACACTGCTTGCTTGTGGGAAAAAAGGTTCAGGTGGTCTTCAGCTGCTCATAACTGAACTCTGATTCTCAAAGGAGCTCTGGTACAACATAGGTGCCAGAAGAAATGGATGAATATTCAGGAGGACTCAAGTGCCTTATTGATAGAAACAAAAATTCATAAATGAGGTAAAGCTCTGCTCCAAATATGACATTGGTGTCATCTAATGCTCACCATATGACTTCAATCATCTTGCTGTAGGCAAGCATAGGAACTGGGGTTTTTTGTGGTCACGGCAAATCTTTCTCACAGTCCAACTTGTCTTGATTTCTTCTTCAGGTGGATTGGTTTCTCACTCTGTAGAGTAGCTCAGTTATGACTTCAAATGCTCTTTACAAACCGAAAGTGAACAATCTAAGGACTTACATGCTGAATGCTTAAGTAGCTTTCTTTCAATCTTGCTTTGCCCTGACAGCCCACTTGTGCTATAGCCTAATTGCTCGGCTACGTTCTGACTGACTTTTCCAATTCTTTTGAATATTTGTCTCAAATCTCAAACTCTGCTCTGGGCTCAGAGGGAAGCGTTTTGTGTAGGTATTTTTTTCATTTTTTCTTATTTCACAGCAACAATGTTTTTGGAGGATTAAACATGCAGGAAAAGAAATAACAGGCTAAGGCTAAGGCAGTGGTTGTTGGGAAAGGTCAGAAGTTGTGGTTCTGGTTCAGATTCCTCAAGCAGCTCAAAAAAACCCACACACGTTAGGAGGAGATCTGCTCTGAGGTCCAGTGCCATCCTTCTTTCTTACCCACTGACAAACCTCAAAACAAGTTACACCACGTTTTCAGCCATCATGGAAAACAATCCTTTTTTGTCTTTTCCCCCCCTTTTTATGTTTATCTTTTATCTTTGAATAGTGAAGTTTAGCCAGTACTTGCTGTGGTGTAGGTATCCATGGTCAATTGTAACAAACACGATGAGGAAATGACAGGCTGTCCTTCCATTCCAAGAGCAGGTGACTGCCTAGAAGCACATGAGGATAGTGCTGTTATGCTGGTGGGTATCATGGCTGCCAGGAGCGATACGCAGTGTAGTCTCGTGTTGGTGCATAGGATGGGTAGCCCTTGTTCTTTTGGTGAGGTGGATGCCGGGGGGTCATATTCATGTAGTCGCTCTGACGGTACCTGTTCCTCTTGGATTTTTGCTGTGGGAGAAGGGGTGAGAGAAGCATGAAACCATTTCTGCAATTAGTCTGTCCTATCTGTGGTGAACATCCTAAAAGGGGGAAAAAAAACAGGGAGGAGAGCAGAGAACTTTTGAGTGTTAATAAGACATGAGAAATATTAATAATGCATTTGATTTTTTCTTCGAGTTAACAAGTCATCTTACCTAACCTTCAGATATTTCAGCTGCTGGCAGTCCTGGTCCTGGATTGGTTCAGGGAAGCAGACATATTTATAAGAAAGCCTCCAGTTTGAAAGCAGTTATAAAAGAACACACGTTCTCATAAAATAATCCGTAGAATAAGCCCAACCTGAGTGTAAGTGTCCAGCTAATCTGCTGAGAGATGTAGGGTCAGTTTTCCAGGTGAAGAAATGCTGCAGACAAAGGATACAAACTGATCTCTCCCACCGCAAGTTCTCAGCTAAGGAATGACTCAGCAGAAGCAATACAGCCTTGAGCAGTGAAGATTGCCCTAATTTATTAGGAAGGAAAAGAAATTGGCTTAACTGGAAGAGAACAAGAGCGGAAAAAATCAGCCTGGGCTATGTATGTATGCTCTGAAAGCAATGCCTTCTGCTTATTTCCATGGAAGTTACAACACATACAAATAGCACAATAGCACTAATTGATAGAGCAAATTCTCAGCTACGAAACACAGTTTTTCAACACGGTCACCACTAGTTAGCACTAGTAGAGGTGACACACTGTTTCACAGCCACTACAATGGCATTGTTGTTAGGAAAATGTTGCCCACATAGTTCATCTTTTATTGGCCTGAGATGGAAGTCAGAAGGCATCAAAACTGGGCTATACAAGTGGGCGTGATAGGACAGTCTTTCTAAGATGAGAAATGTGCTCTACAGTCTTCAAACTGGTAAGGGGCCTGGAATTACTGTGTTGCAAGAGAAAGGTTGTCGTCTTCTCTGTTCTCCTGACTCTGGAAGCTCCAGTCTACAGCTTAGTCAGTGTCATGATGTAGTGGTCAGAGTTGATGGTTTGTCTGGATTCCAGGAAATCCAGAGGATCACCTCTGCCCTACCCCAAAAGACAGTGCACATCACTTTTCCTGCAGAGAGTTGTACCTTGAACGTTTTATTCTATGGATAATTCACTTCTCCACTCAATGGTCTACTATATTGACTTCAGCTCACAGCAGTGTCATCATGTCTCATCACTGGTAGTGAAGTGTCCAGGAAGCTGCCACTTCAGTCTCAAATTACTTCAATAGATCCTGGCAAACTTGCACACACTGTTATTTGTGGTCCTGTGTGAGCATTTGTGGGACCCACCTGGTGCAAACTTTGCAGTATTTCAACACAGCCACCATTGTTTCCAATGCACTGAGGCTGATATTCAGCTCCGTATGCAGTTCCCAGATTGTAATCCACCAAATTTGTGCTGATGAGCTGATCAAGATGACCTTAATTTTGTGATGTGACAGCTGCGTATTGCTGTCCGGAACGTGGCCTCTCTTCCATGTCACTGTTTCCTCTGTTGAAACTTACCACCTCCCCATGCTCACATCCATTGTTTGGTCTCCAGGGACATTCAGCAAACATCAGTGAACGTGAATGGGTGCCATTTTTTCCCCATAGAGGAATTCAGTGACACACCTTTGCTTCATACACACTTCCATGTCAGACACCATTTTGTTAGACTGTCCTTCTGCTGCCATCTGTCTCATGGCAACAAAGTGAAATGACAGGAAGGTTCAACCTCTACTGCTGTACCACCACCATCTGCCTCTGGTGTTGTGGGCCAACATAATAAAATAGAGGCATTACTTTCGGATAATAATAAGATTGGACAATAATAAAATTGGAGGCATTACTTTTGGAGCTACTCCTATGTATCATGGCTTGCCTATCACTTACAGTAGAAATGCATAATGTATATGTTGTTCTGGGCATTCCTTTGAGAGGAAAAAGAACCAGAGCTGCTGTTAATCTTTCATATGTCTCATTAACAGAGCCTTAAAAATCTCATTCCAATGTTGAATCCCTGCCTCGCAGTGCCCCTGTGAGACATGGGAAGCATCCCCTTCAGGAACGAGAGCAGCAGAAGGCAGATGAAATCATTTGCCTATCATGATAGAGGAAGTTTGTGGCTACAGCAGTGTATGAACCTGTGGTTCCTGCAGGCTGTGCATGAGGTTATTGTTCTTGCACAGATGAAGGCCTTCTTACAGGAACTAGGTAAAGTGCTTTCATTCTTTTTCCTTAATGCTGATTATACTTTTTATTACAGTGTTTTAACTGACACTTCCTGCATACACATACATACATTGTATATGAATATACTGCATATAGCACAATATGTATGTGATGCTGTGGAATTGGAGGAGGCTTGTATCAGAAACTTAACAGCTGTACATGCAGAGGGAGGCAGTTAATTTCTATGAGACACTTAGAGCTTTTTGATGTTAATGTTATATATATGCAAGGGGTTGAATGGAAATTATGTGCTACTTAAGCCATGCACTGCAGTTGGTGCATTTAATCATTAGATAGAAAAGTTTTCTCTGTGTTTACCTCCATAAAAACATTTTTAATTCATCTATTAAAATCTAAGAGGTAATTTCACATGAGAGAAATACATTTTGCTAGCATGAGTGAGTTCTGGATTATTCCAGGATGAAATACAGCTGCTTCTTGAGAGGAAGTTTTCCTCCAGGGAAGACAGAACTGTAAGAATTAGCACATCTTTAGTTGCTTTCAGGAACTTAAGTGAAACAGACTTGCCTTGGCTGTCAAATACCATTTTAAGGACCTCATTTTAGCATCTACAATGTCTTCTAGGCAGCTTTGTTTAGATTCAACAGCACTCCAAGTACATCCACACTTGGAGCACACGTTATCAGAATAGCACCAACAGTGATAACAGCAGGTGAAATTGATGCAGGAAGCAGCATGCATCACAGTGCAGCTTTGTCAGTCATGCTGGGAGCAGACATCTTAGTAGTGCAGTGCATAACCATTAGGTACCAAGTGAAAATAGCAGAGAGAAAATGGTTTCAGATCCTAAAGGATGGATTGGAAGCTATGGTATCTCATCCAGGCACAGCTACTGTAGCATAGCACGGTAACACCAGCAGCTGTTTGCTGTAATCCTTTCACAGCTCTCCTGTCTCCTGTCTCCTTTCTACAGCAAGGCACTAAGAGGGACCGCTTAACCTGCCTTTGTATTTTCCTATGGCAATGTCCAATTTGATTGTTAACCATTAGAAATATGTATATATTGAACAAGTGTATTTTTGTGAAACAGTTAAGAAAGCTCAAGTTTCAGCTAGTAGTGTGAGTGGTTTTCTGTGTACGTGCAGCATGTGGCCTGTCAGAAAGACTGCACTCTTTATACAGACTACCTCATAATGTGTTGAATGACACTATTTAATGGCAGTGATACAAGGAGAGACAGAGTGCAAGGAACAAAACTCTCTGTGGTCATATTTCAAGTCTTCCCAACATGGAGCAGGAAGTGTGAAATCATCTCTGGGAGATGGTGACCCTAAGACCTGTGCTAGAAGGTGGCATTCTCCTACCTCTGCACCACAATTCGTGCTTTCCCTACTCCAGTAGGGCTGTGTATTGAACCAAGCTGGACTGGATGCAAACTGGGCCAGACAAATCTCCAGAGGGATTAGACAAAAAAATAAAGAACTGCAAGACTCTCTCTGCTTTCTTAGGGTAAATTACTACCAATGCACTGGTGCCCCTGTTCTATTGAAATCAAGCTGTCAGAAAAAGTGTGTACGAGAGGGAATTGCTGCATAGGCACAAAACACTGGTGTGGATGTTTTGGGGCCAACTGAGGGTTCTCTGAAGATTGTTTCACTGTAGGCGAGCTCCTCCCATCTCAAAGGGGTTTGGCAGGAATGACTGTAGAGAGATATTTCCCTGACAGGGAGAACTAGTTGGAATTGGAGATTGTGTCCCAGCTTTGCTGAGGTACTGACATTGCCATAGGACTCTACTGAAGAGGCTGGCTGCCTATTGGGAGTGCATCTGGCGTTTCAGCTTTCTTGGGGCATAGCACAGGTGTGAGTATGTATCTGGGCTGAAGAAGCACTGTGATCTTACTGTGAGAGATATCAGTGGATTTGTGGTAAGTATGGGAAGAATAACATGAGAGTTGAAGAGCATGTAGGGGCAAATAGCACATGAAGCAAAGGATAATAGTTTCTTACCCGGTAGATTATAAAGACTGCAGTTATAAGCATACTGTAGAAACCAAGAAGTCCTGTCACTGCCACCATAACCCAGTATGAAGTTGCGGACTCGGGTTCTTGTGTCTGGATGGGTGTCTCTTTAAAAGAACAAAGAAAACTTTTAAGCACTTCAAAGCTTGTTTACTCCTCATTCCAGCACACCACCTGTATTAATCTTATCATATAGCTGCTTAAGATGCCTTTCTTAAGAAATCAGGAGCAGGAATTCTCATTTTGAGAGGCAACCCAGCTATTTTTTCTGCCTCAATCCAAAGCATAGGGAGTGTGTATAGGAAGGACACTGGTGTATAGGTTCTCAGCTTACCTCTCACATGAATGACAGTCCCGTTGCTCTTCTCATTATAGACATATGGAGGCGGATACATGGCCTCAATTTTGCAGAAGTAGATGTCAGTTTGGCTGGCAGTCATATTCCGAAGATTGAAGATTACTTTGTCCTTATCATGATTTCCCCAACAGTTGAATTCTTTATTTGAATTACTGTTACTTTTGGTCATGTTCCATGAAATAAAGCAGACTTCAACTGAACTGTCTGTTCCTTTGTGCAGCGAGGCTCGAAATTCTTTCCCTGTTCCGTTGTATGTGTAGTTGCAGACTAGAGTTGCCGTCCTATTGGCTACAATGAGCAAAGGACTCTGAGCCACTAGAATCTTGTTTTCTGAAAGGGAGGAAAGAAAAACACTTGTTTGCAAGATATATTAAGAGACTTCAGAACCACACAGCCTCCTGTTCAGCTTGTGTCCATGTCTCTTGTTCTCTGTTGGCGCTCCCTGCTAGGCAGTATGTAACACCATGCGGTAGAAGCTGTTACTCAAGGAAGCTCTGATTGCAACTATCCTCTCTCTATATACAAGTAATTTCACTGTTACCAGGGGAGACTGTGAGGTTGGGGGTATTCTTCCACAGAGTCAGAACGCTATGAGACAAAGTGGCCCCTGTGAGGAAGATTTAAAGTCAAGGGTCACAAGGCTACTTTGTTTGTTAGTGTGTATACATGTGTAAGACCATCTTTGTCTATCTGTTCCTTAGCATGCAGAATGCCAGGGAGCAGTATGGAGTGAAAATGCCATGAATTAAATGCTCAGTTAAGTAATCAGATAAGAGAATATTATTCATACCTTTGCTTTTTAGTTCAAGGACAGACTTGAAAAGTTTGCAAGTGGAATTTTGTGAAATTTTTCAAGTACTTGGCCCTTGGACAAGAAGCACAAAAGCAAGAACTGGTATAATTTCAATTTTAAAAAAGTCATTTCTCTAGCTAGCAGCGGTAGCAGATTCTTAATCACTCAAAGGACTTAGGCTGACTAATCTGACACCATATTGGCGCTTAGCACTTGAATGGCCTGTAAAAAAGCATGTCACATGAAGATACAATTCAGTTTGGATTGACCAAACTGATATGTAAACAGAAAGTGTTTTCTGACATGCAGAACTCTGTGCTACTAACTGCCAAACAACCACTGCTCAAACTGTGCAGAAAGACAACTGTTTCCAGAAAATCCACCCTGTACAAATGAGGCTTTTCAAATGGTTACCTGTAAATAAGAGGAAGCGAGCTGTGGTTCTTAAGCTAGGAATTTGCCGGAAGCAGGGACAGTGCTTTTGTGTATGCATGCCATTGCATATGTCTCCATGCAAGTCCAAGTTGCAGGAGTTCTTAGCAGCCTTTGATGGATCACAGAGAATTGCTGTGGTTGAGATAATGGCAACTGTATGTATTTCCAAAATCTGCTGTAAAACCTGCATTCATTCTACTTAATCCATGTGAGGATACTTTAAGAGGATAGAAAGGAAAACAGAGCAGGAAGGAGGGCAGATTTACAGTGCGCAGGAAACAAGTGTTTCAATATACTTAATATTTAGGACTACATGGATGCACTTAGTGTGCTCCTAGATGTACAGGAAGAGGGACCACCCTGGCCTCTTGGGAGGACACTCCTACAGGGTGAATGGTACACAGGTTTATTTCCATGCTCAGTTTCAGGTCAAGAATTTCAGCATGCCTCCCTTAAGGCTGTTGGGAGCCTGGGCTTCTAGAGGGCAGCAGGAACATTAGCTTGAAAGAGGCCATTGAAGTCATGTGGTCTAGTCATATGCTCTGCTTTCAGAGAGACACACACACCAAAAGACATATAAAACAAATGCATTCATAAAATTGACATGTTATTTACATACATCCAGAAAATATCCACACCAGATACTACCAAGTATATCCACAGGTGTTGTGAAGCCACATTTTCCATTTTGAAACTATTTCTTTTTGCACAGCTTTCATTATGAGAGCTGTGAGTGAAGATGGTGAACTTACATGGTGGTCACAGCATTCACAGGGACATGGGAGATTCGGGTGTAATCCTTGCTCTGAATCAAAATAAAAGATGGACTTGAGTGTGGGTCTAACAAATTTGAAGTGAAAACCTTGGCTCCATCCACTTGTTGGCCTATTGGGAGGTTGAGCCAGAAGCCCTCTGCTAAGGTATGCCCTGGCACAGCAATAATTGTAAGACATAAAACGCACAAGACTGGAACAGGGAGTGAACACACAGAGATATGTGAGTTGGTCAGAACTAGTTGCAGGGTGTGGGCAGTAAAAACAAACCATGCCCAACAGGTTCTCCAAGAACCAGCCCAGCCCATGAAACTGCTGAAGTTGTTCATTTTCTCACCAAAATTGATGTTTACCAGCCCTTTCTTCTCATAAGAGCAGGAAGATATAAGACAGGGGATCTTTAGCAAAGAAGGAGTTTGCAGCCCAACCTCCTTGTGTCCCTCTGTTCAGTGTAGCTAACTTGAGGACTGCAGCAAAGCTTATCACAGCTCAGAAATCTCATGTTTGCAGGGAATCCAAACACTGAAACTTTTTGTTTTGGGGAAGAGTGAGCATTTCCATTCTTTCCAGTACAAAGGCCCCAGGATCTTGGAATCCCAGAGCAGGCTGGCAGTAACAGCAGACAAGACTGGTTCCTACTGAAGGTGCTGCCTGTGGTGGATTCTCATTGCAGTGAAGACACTTCAGCAAAATATTTCAGTTTCACTGAATCAGCATTTTCCAACAAAAGCTCTCCCCTAGGCCTATAAGGCATTCTAGTAAAGAGTGAGGTTCACGTTCTACTTCTTTAGACAGGCTATTTGATCATATCATTTTTTTCTAGAAAATCGAACTTTAGCCCAAGTGGGAAGGTACAAGTCTGCAGTGGAATTGTTCTTCGGTTAAAAAAGCAGAACTCAAAGCATCTCACTTGGGACAGAATTGTTTTGAATTTTACCCCACCAGTGCCCACCACTACAGCTCTGGCTATTGCAGCTGAATACACCTTCGGAAGGGGTTTTTCTGTTTCATAGTTTATATCCGAAACAGGCAGCCTTGAAGAGATAGTTGCAGAAGTACTATGGCTCAGAAAAAAATACTTGCTTGTTTTTTGCTGTAGGTACTTACAAATAAGTACCTTTTTCTCACTGCAGGTTCTTACAGAAAAACAGATGGACGTTTATCACATAGCCTGATCAGATCACTAAGGCCAGAGGAAAGACAACACTGAAAATAGTGTCAGTGAGGGACCACCTCCAGATGTTTTTTAGACTGTTCTGCAGAACCCAGAGACTTACCTTGAACTTTTGCTAGTCTGGATTCCTAGTGTATAATAGTACGTAGCTTCACATAATGAGCTCTGTTATTTAATTACAGCTCTGGACTATTTATGTCCCTGCTGTGATATTTTGTTTGTTGGCAAACAAACTTGTTTGATGCATCCACCAAAAAAATAATACTTTCCATCACCTTACATCTTGGCTTTCTGGCCCAGCCTGTTTGCCTCACCATGGCAGCTGAGTGTTGATGACCCAGCCCCATACTGTTGGTGCTGAGATAACTAAACAATGGGAAGAAGTTTATTTGTGGATTGTTAAATAAGGGCTGCTCCTAAGTGATTTGTTTAAGCCAAACTTAAACCAAATCTGCTTTTGCAAAGTGGCGCTACCATGTAAAATCTGAATTGATTGAAGGTGTTTTGTTTTCCATTTATAGGAACTAATTAGTGAACAGGGCAGGGCTGAGGCAAGGCAAGCTCGCCCCACAGGCATGTCAGGCCCTGCAGTTATCCTGCGTCTCCAAGCTCACAGTTTTTCAAATTGAAGAAAGTCAGTCATTTCCCCATTTTGTGGGGAAAACAAAGTAAGGCCAAACAACCCTTACTTGATTTCTGATCTGAATAGATTTGAGCGTATTCTTAGTAGAATCTGAATCATTCTGAACAAACTTGAGCTGAAGCTGTTTTTGCCTTCACAAAGACAGTTTTTCTTGTGTCTCTTTGGGTTTATGAAAATAGTGAAACTCTGAAACATCCAGTATATGTTTCTAATAGTGCACATTTTCCCCTAAATAGGTTTATAACTGCTGTTTCCAGAGCGGTCTTCAGTCGTGCTATATAGTAATAAGTATCTGTCTTGGCCTCAGGCAGCAAATGGCAGTTATGAAAATCATTGTCCAGTTTCAAAAGTTTGTAATGTCTAGAAATGTAAGAACATTTTGATGTGTCTCAAGGCTGTAGGTTTTATAAGCAATGGTGTGCAAGATCTCTGTTAAGCTTTTCTGTATGTTGTCATGCTAATCATATCTTATAACCACAAGTGGGGTTTTTTTTGCCTCATGAAAGAGGTCCAATTTATATATATTTTCTGAAAAACACTACCTCCTCAGTCACAGACCCTTCATGCAAGCAAAGCTCCATTGAAGGTTTTTTCTTTTCTTTTCTTTTTTTTTTTTTTTTTTTTTTTTTACTCAAGAAAGTGAAATAAAGATGACAGAGTATGGAAACTAACTATTTTGAAGGTTGGTTGTATTTTTTTTTTTCCAGAACTTTCCATGAATCATTATCAGTTATTGGAAAAAAATATTATGTTAAAAATATTTTGTACTCTCTTTCTTTTTCATGCCAGTTGGCTTTAGGGAGCTATTTGCCAGAGCAAGGAATCTGGTGTAAGTTGGGGTTTCTCTAAGCATAGTAAAGAAATGGCCCACTTAAGTCCCTGCTGGAGGGGGTGGAGAGGGAAACCTGCAAAGAGCTTATTTAGTCCACAAGTGGAAAGACACACAGCTACGTTATAAACAAAGCTGTTTGTTTCTTCAGCTGCTGGTTTGTTGTTCAGTTGCCTTTACTCTTTCCCAGGTGAGAGTCTTCCTCTGTTACTTCAGTTTTAGGTGCCTACGCTGTGTCTATGTGTAGAGCTGGAGGGATCTACCTTTTCTAATGTGATAGACTGGCTTTGTACTAACTTTTACTCCGTTCATGCAAATACTGCACCAAGCAAAGTATTCTTGCTGAAATTAAACTTAGTTTGAACGCAGGGGTTTCTTTTATCTGTTTGTGATGTTTTTGAGCCAGAATTTGTTGATGTCATCCTAATCTCAGCTAGCCTTGCATTTTGCATTCTGGTAACCTTGGTGGGTTTGAGGCTGATTTTAGCACTCAGAGATTGATTTTAACACCAGCCAGGATGTTATGCAAGCACTGAAAAGATGAGGTCATTTGGGGTCCTCTGCAGTGGGAACATTCTTACATTACTTTATTTCACAAAATAAACAGATAGCCAAGTATTTAGCAGCCTCTCTGTTTTCTGTTACTTAGCTGACAGAAAGCGGATGATGAGGGTGGAGAGGGACAGGCTTTGTAAACACTGATACTACTGAAAAGAGGGAATAAGCAATCCAATCTTGTAAGTTTCTTCCCAGCTTTACGGTTCCACAATTCAAACTCAACTTGCCGTTGAGTTTGACTCAGTGGTGCAGCCTAATAAAAGCACGACAGGATAGATCAGTTGTCTTCACCAGAACAAAGTACATTTTGTGGTTTGAGGAAGTTCTGCAGGGCTTTTACTTGTCCTAACGTTGTCTGTGTAGCAAGGATCATTCATCTCAGCATCAAAATGAAAAGAAGAGACAAGGAAATAGGTGAAAGCCCTGAAAAGTAAGCTAACTCATGGTTCTGTTCAAGCAATTGAATGGTTTCAATGAAGGTGCTGTAGAAATTCTTAACCCAAAGCAAGTAAACGGATGTCTAGAGAATCATGGCATAACCCTGGTGTCTGATAAACACACGTTGTATTTTCTTGCAATTCAAGAGTTGTTTAAAAGATATTCACTTCTCATGGAAATGGTTTTAAAACTATTAATTTATCACTGCTTCCTATCCCCTCCTAGAATTATTGTCCTCTCAGACAACCCAGTGGCCTTCTGTGAAAGTAATTACCATATTGCAAGCAGAGAATTATGAAAACTCAAAAAGGACAAGGAAAAAAGAGCCTATCAGCTCTTAAAGAAATATAGATCAAGGCTTCATGCAAATCACATTGCCTTTCATGAGGACTAGAACTACAGAAAAGCAACATGCAATTTAGGAAAAATATAATGAGTATTATCTCTTGTATTAGAAAAGCAACTCTTTAAAGATATTCTGTATGTGAAAGATTTGTACTGGAAAACAGATTTTTGTTCCTACCTGTAAATTCCTCATAAAATACAACACACTGATATTTGGAGGAGACCAAATAACAGTTCACAAGCTAGAGATTTGAAAAATTGTCAAGATTATCCTAGCAAAACCCATCACCCTTTGCCTTGCTTTGCATTTTGATGTACTACTTGGAGAGACGTGGTAGCTCTGAACGCACTAACGCTGCATCAGCGAGAGACAGAAGCCAGGTAACTGAAGATTCAGAAGGATTTACTAAGATGCTGTATTTCTAAATCACAACTAGGCATTTGTGTTACCAAAAATATTTTCAGAAAGAAGCAACATATCTAGTTATTATCAATAAACTACTAAATAATGCAAAAATCAGTTAGTCCGCAATTCCGATCCTCCTAACTTTGAGTTCAGTAAGTAGCTCTACTGTTGTTCCTTTCACTTGCTGATGCTATGAGAGTTTGGGTGGGCTCAGCTCTGCAGCCCGTCACACCAAGCTGGCGTGCAGTGGGACATAGGGCTGACCACAGCAGGCTTGGAAGTGGCCCCAGAGGGCGCAGCACCAGCTCTGCTCAGATCCCCCCAGCAGATATTGAAAGCCACAAAGCACAATCCGTGCAGGCTAGGGAAAGGTGAAATAAACTCTCTCTAAATAAGCAGTTTCCAAATGCATCTGAAGAGGTTGCAGATTAAATAGATATCTCTTGAGTCTTGTCTAGGAGGGATATTCATGGAAGAAGAAAAATCAACCTCCTGGTTATACTGAGTCGATCCATAAGCAGTCTCAGCAGCATGCTTTGTCTCTTCTCTCATGTTCAAATGCAACATAATTTCTGCAAAACTAATCCAGATCTGTACAAGACTGTCTACTGTCTCCCCTCTCCTATGATACAAATGTTGAAAAATCGTGGAAACAATCATATTTTTTCTGTTACCTGTTACATCTGCAGCAGGGATGAGGCAGAGCACCACGAGGATCCCCAGCATGGTGATGATGGTGGGCCTGTGGCCTTGTCCCCACCCTCCAGGCACTGCCAAGTCCCCCAGGGCTTCACGCCACGGGCGTCCACACAGGGCAATCTGCACCATCACCAGCTCACACAGCTTCTCTCCTCCTCCCTGCGTGGCACGTGATGTACAGCCGAGTGAAACCACAACGGCAATGTTCAAACAGGAAACTCAGTTGTTTGATGGCTTCAACCTTGGGAAGCCTCCTCTGTGCCTCTGCAGCATTCAGGAACACCTAGGAGACGGTGCAAGCCCACCCTCCGAAATATGGAGCCTTCTTATGCTTGGGGTTTTGCAGGGCCACTCCCATCAGAGGGAGAAATGGACTTCCTTTGAGGTGAAATGCTCCTTTACCAAGAGCACATATAGGAATAGCCACCTTCCTTTACCATCACCATGGAAAGTGCAAACAGCAGTTTCTGAGTTCCTGCTGGCCAAGCTTGGTCCCTAAGGAAACTTAGTGAGCTTCATCTCTTCTCGCTCTTAGGAGCAGCACTCTTCCTCTCTTGGCTTGCTGTTTTGCTCCTACCTGCTCCTAGGCCCAGGAATGCCACTGTATTGTGAGAGAAGTGATTTTGGATTGTGCATTTTCAGTTTTCTGTGTCAGCTTGTCACCTAAATGCAGACTAACCAGTGTAAGAAGTAGTTGATCTACCATACCTTTTCTTTTTGGAAAAAAAATCCTGAGTTATAAATGAGTGTTTCTGTAATCCAGTTAGCATCTCAATAAATACAGCATGCAGCAAGCACACTTCTCAGTCAGTGCTTTCATTAGAGTCCTATTATTTCAAGTTTATCTCTTGGCCTCACTGATACTTACTCTTCTTTGCTCTGGAAGCTGCTCTTCCTAGCCTCTGAGGTCTTTAAGCTGTGTCTTATTGGAAATCATTTGGATAATCTAAGAGCAGCTGTAGCTGGTGTACTCATTTGTAGTCTAGGAATTTTAACAAGATTCTTAAGGATTGCAATCAATGTAAATTTTCTGCATATTGAAAGTTTGGGAATTCCCTTGTTCTTTAGAGACAGAAAAAAAAATTACATCCTCTCTTTCCAAGGATAAATATCCTTAAATCATATTTGAATGTGTGACTCTGTCACTTCACAAGTATGATCATTTCCTATTACTAAAGATATCATGAGGCTAGGGGAAGAAATTATTAAACTTTCAACAAGCAATCTTGCACTCAATGCAAACCACAAGAAAGCTTATCTCGGAAAAGAAACTGAAAATGCTCCCCAGTATACCCTCATCCTTAATTTTTCATTATCCTCACAAACACTCTGAGCCTGTCCTTCTACACTCTAAGCATTACCTGAGGGTGTTCTGCTGCAGAATTAATTCAGCCACCACTCAGTCCTATCCTTACCCCATTTTTCAATCAAACTTTGAGCTTTTGAGTCTGCTGTCACAGGAATTGAAATCCAAACTATTACAATTTCAGTGGAGATAGAACTCTGAGAGTACTGAAAGGTCTAAAAACACAATTGAGCCATGATCAGGAAACAGTTTTCCATTTCATCATAAAACAGCTGACATTTCAATCCAAAGTAAGTGGGTAAGAGATTTGTAAAAGGGAATCTGAACTGTGGGCTTGGGATTTTTACCCATGTCTTACTTTCGTCTGGAATGGAATTGTTTCCTTTGAAGTGTTTGGTATGCTGCTATGTTTTTAGTTCTGGGAGAAAAATAATGTTAATTACACACCAGTGTTTATAGCTGCTGCTAAGGATTGCTAAATAGAAGCAGTTCTCAAAGAAGGACCCAAGGAGCTGGGGGGGAACAGAATTAGGACAGCTGACTCAAACTGACTGAAGGGATATTTCATACCATATGCAGAAGGAGTTCTGAAGGAGGTGGGAGTTCATCTGGTTCTCTCCAACTGCTCGGCATCGATCAGGGAGGGTGAGCAATTGCCTGTGCATCACTTGTTATATACACTCACACATAGATATATAACAATAGCTATAATCCTTTTCCTTTTCTCTATCTTAGTAAATAGTTTTATCTCAACTGACAAGTTGTTTGGGTTTTTTTTTCCCTCAGTTCTCTCCCCTGTCCCACTGGGAAGGAGGAGAATGAGCAAGTGAGGGTGTGGTGCTGAGCCACCTTGCTAGGTTAAGCCACAACAACACATCACAAAATGTAGATAAAATAACAGACCAAATATTTGATTGTAGCTTTTTGTTCTACTGTTAGAAAACCAAGCACACACAGATAGGAGCTACGATCTGAATTTTAGAGAAATGGGGGTGAGTTTCTTAGAGCATTATCTGATTTTATTTAAAATAGACCCAAGAAACCCCAAGCAGGCTGTCAGTTTGCCTTTATCCTTTATTGCCCTCAGTAATTTCACATTCAGCACCAAATTTGATGGGAGTGTTTGGTCTACTTGAAGGCAGGAGGCTCTGCAGAGCGATCTGATACGGCAGATCCATGGGTCAAGAAGAGGTGGCTGAGGGGGGGGCCTCATCACTCTCTACAATTGCCTGAAAGGAGATTACAGCAAGGAGTATGCTGACCTCTTTTCTCAGATGACAATTGACAGGATAGAAGAAAACTGTCAGAAGTTGTGCAAGGGGAGCTTTAAATTGGACATTAGAAAGAATTGCTTCACAAAAAGAGCAATAAAGCATTGGATTGGGCTGCTCAGGAAAGTTGTAGCATCCCCTACCATCGAGATATTTAAGAAACGTGTGGACGTGCCACTAAGGGGTGTGATTTAGTGAGAGAACTCAGCAAGCCAGGTTGATAGTTTGGAATCTATGATCTTGAGGGTCTTTTCCAACCTAGATGATTTTATGATTCCAAAGATTTAGGAAGTACTGACCTGAGCTACGTTTACAAAATTGTCACGATTAAATGAGTGGATAGTTTTGAATCACAGAATCATGAACTTGTAGCGGTTGGATGTGACCTCTGGAGATTATCTAGTCTAACCCTCTGCTGAAGCAGATTCCATAGAGTAGGTTGCAGAGGAAAGTATCCAGTGGATTTTTAATGCCTGCAGAGGAGACTCTACAGCTTTTCTGGGCTGCCTGTTCCAGTGCCTTGTCACCCTCAAAGTAAATAAGTTTTTTTCTCATGTTGATATGGAACTCCCTGTGTTTCAGTTTGTGCCCTTGCCCCTTGTTTGATTGCTGAGCACCACTAAGAAGCACCTGGCCCCATCCACTTGTCATCTGCCCTTTAGATATTTACAAGCATTGGTAAGATCCCCTCTCAGCCTTCTCCAGGCTAAATAGTCTCGGATCTCTCAGCTTTTTCTCATAAGGGGTTGCTCCAGGCCCCTAATCATCTTTGTAGCCTTCTTCTGGACTCTCTCTATAAAGTTCCTGTCTTTCCTGAATTGAGCAGCCCAGAACTGGACACAGTAGTCCAAATGTGGCCTCACCAGGGAGGAGGATCAAGTTTTTCGACCTGCTGACCATGCTCTTTTTAATACAATGCTGGAAAACATTGACCTTCTTGGCCATCAGAGCACACTGCTAGCTCATGGCCAAACTGTCATTTACCAGGACCCCTAGGTTCTTCTCTGCAGAGAAGCTTATTTTAAAAGACATTGAATCTCCTTGGAAGTCGCTGGAAGTATCACAGTTGTTCCCAGTATGTACTCCTACCCTTGGGCAAATGAAAATGTATTTGCATGCTCAAAGAGTAATTGCAACAATGTACTATTATTTATTTATTAATATACTTTACTTATTCCTGAGGACTTCAGTCTAATAGGAGAACAGTAAGTACCTAAAATTCCCATCTAATTACTGCTGACAATAAAGTTCTCTGTCACTGGGCTATTCCTATAACTCCATACAAAGACAATATTTAACAGCTGCCTCTCTTCCCCACCATGAATAATCGTTAACACAGATCTTGAGCAAGCAGTCTAGGTAGGCTTATTCTGCATGTTGCCAGCTACTAGAATAAATGCTTTCATTTGCACAACTGTGAGTCTTAAAACATATTTATTCTTCCATTGCTGCTTCAAGTAATGATTTGTTGCTAATGACTTGGTGAAGATGGAAGGTTGATACCTTCAAATCTTTATTACAGGAAGAATGTGCTCTTCTCTAGCCGCCATAGGGTTGCAGAAGTGAGTTGACAGAAAGCACTTAATAGTCATTACACCTAACTACAGAGATAATGCATGATCTGTATTATTCTCTCCCTACTGTGACCTGTAAGCTAAACTTAGGGAGTAAACAATCCTAGGAATCCTGCAAGATTTGTCATCTGAAGTTCTTCATAGTTACCTGTTGTTATTTTCTCTTTACAGACGGGAATTGGAATCACAAAAAGGTGAAAAGACGTGCCCAAGGACATACCTCAGGTTAGTGCCAGAACTGTGCATCTCATTGAGGAGCACAGTGCTCTCTAGTTTCCAAGCCCAAATCAGTTTTTTGATGACCTCATTCTGTATTGTTGATACTCTTTTTCACACACAAATTTTCACTATGTTGTGAATCGTTTCCACTTTTTTCATGATTCCAGAGATCTTCATACAATGAACATCAAAATCAATACACTCCTTTAGAGGAATTTAAAGTTGGTTTTCTGTATTTTAAATTGTTATAACTAATGTCTGATACAAAGGAGCCTTTCAGGGCCAGACCATACTATTACATGTCGTGAAAGAAGGGAGCTTTCTTTTTCAGAAAGATGTGAATTTTTTGTTTCCTGCCCTAGAGACATAAGTGTGTCACTAATTTAGGACAAAGAGCTACCATCAAACATGTATAATTTTGAGATACAGCTTCAGGGAATCCTTCCCTGTTTGGGGAAAGAAACATTTCCTTGGCAGGATGATTATTTTTTAATGTCAATAGCTGGAAGCTGTTCATTAGTGTTTGTTGGGGAAAAAATGGAAAGGGGCAGGAGTTCACACATGTACATTCCTGACCCTTTTTAAGTTAAAAATCTCATCCAAGTTTCAATTTTTTCTTCTGGTTGTACCTATTAATGGCTTGGACTGTTAGAACAAGTCTCAAAGGCAGTAGATTAACAGGTGGAAAGGGAATGGTTCAAAGCTACATGATTAACTGCAACTATTACCTGCTGTAAGATGACATGTGTCTGCTGCTCCATTAGAGGTCATATGTTTAGGTTGGAACACTT